AATGACCCACGGCAAAATATACAACTTTTGTTATCTGTCGACATTTTTTATAAAAGTTCACATACAAAACAAATTGGCTTGCATCTCTCATATGAAACGAAATGAGATCCTTTTCTACAAGTAAACAGGTTCATTGATCCGGGACACGTATTGACCACTAGTTCTACAATTGTGAACGATATTCACGGCTGTTTGATTCGAAACACAAACATACGCTTGGCTCGCCTTCACTGATTTGTCACAAGCGTTTTGGCACAGTTGAATGTCATATCTTAGCCTCCAAAAAAATTACTGGCAAGTTTTGTCCGCTTGATTGAATCTAGATATTAAACGCTCGCGTCACAGACGTCCGTCCCAAGTGCTGTGTGTTGTGTCCCGAGAGTGAAGGCTGAAGTTGGAAATTGTCCTTTGAACCGTGATGCCCGTAGTTCCATCACAACGTTGCGTCTCGGCTACAGCCACACAACTGGATCCTCCCAGTCAGCGTTTCATGGGCAATTGAACTCATTGCTTAAATATATGTGAACGCAAGTGCCTTTGGACCATAACTTGTCCCTCTTTTAAAATGTATTTCACTGGAATTTAAGTTCTGTTTTATGTACGCACGTTAAACTTCTTTCGCACCGTGCGTAGCCAACCGTGTTAATCGGTGGTGCGGGAAATGCTACACTGAGTATCATTTCATACGCTTGATTTTTTTGTCACGATAAGCTAATTTTTATAGTTTAATATTTTAAACCCAGTTTTTTTCTGTTGTGCCATCCCCACGTTACGTGCGCTGTTTTGTCCCTGTAAGCCGGGTCTCCCTTGACAACGAGACTCGGACTCTCAATCGGCTCACTCATCTGGCTTTAGTAAAGGGACAGCGTTCGGCTCGATATTAAAACCTCTCATTTGAGCTGAACGTTTGTTTTGCTGGCAAAGACAAAATCTGATTCGGTTTGCTGAGTGGAAAAGGTTTAGGCTGTGCCCAAGCTTGACGTCGCCGCTATTTCCTGTGTGGGTAATGGCCGTGGCACTTGGCACCGCTGCGGTTTTCTGGTCAGTAAAAGCCCCTTCATCCATATTAGAGGTTTTTTTGGGTTAGATTGCGTATATATAAATGTGTCGTTAAACCTGCCCACCACCCGACACAGCCGATCAGTAAGGTTCGTCATATAAACAGAACGTGCCAATTAGTTACCAGTTCAGCACACCAGCGTGTTAGAGAGTAAAACCCACAACATTTACAATTCGAGTACGGTGACGTTTCACCGGTAATTACAACCAGCATCATCAGGCGACAACCAGAATTGTTGAGAAATCCTCCTCCTGTTTCGGTCTTAAATAGAGGGGGTTAATGTGATGTCGTCACTGTGAGCCAATCAGGTGCAATGCCTAGAGGGTAGGGGGGTTATTGTAGTCCTATAAATTACAATGGATATGATACGTAATGTATGTTGATCAACTGTGACTAACCAAACTAATATATATATGTTTTGGTAATATACATATGTAGTGGTGATACGCGCTGGGGTAGGCATCGTGTGCCAGCGCGTAATGATTGGCTGTGTATGTGGTGACGCGCGCTGACGGTGGAGGATCAGGGGTCAGCGCGGGGTCGTGGGTTACGGGGTACTGATTGGCTGTGTGCCAGTGACGCGCTGAGAGGGAGTGATCGGGTGGCAGCGCGGTGTGAGTGGTGGAGTAGTATTAACACGCGCTGGGGAAAACGGATCGTAGAGAGAGCGCGTCGTGATTGGTTCACTAAGGAGCGATGCTCACGTCGACGTCCGCATCAGCTCCGTCTCCCGTGAGCAGGGGCTATAAAAGGGGATGCACACAGGCGCAAGGGCAGTATGTAACCAGCGAAGAATGAAGACGGGGATCGAAGAGATAGGGCCCTGCGGTACCTAGTCCCGCTGTCCTAACGGGACCGGGACTCTGTGTAACCCAGAGGCGAATGTATTGTGTGTAGCCAGAGGTATAGGGTCTACACGAGTCAAGTGTATTGTGTGTAGCCAGAGGTATAGGGTCTACACGAGTCAAGTGTATTGTGTGTAGCCAGAGGTATAGGGTCTACACGAGTCAAGTGTATTGTGTGTAGCCAGAGGCATAGGGTCTACACGAGGCGAGTGTATTGTGTGTAGCCAGAAGCAGATAGTCTACACGAGTTCAGTGGAGTGTATAGTCAAAAGAATAGAGACCACACGTTGTATTGTGATACGTCAAGATTTAATAAAAGTGTGTTACCCGTCAAGAAGTTCCTGCCGTCATTTCCAATACTTCACATACATAAACCTTACTAATTGGCCATGTCGGGCGGTGGCGAGTTTAATGACACATTTATATTGACGCGATATAACCCAAAATCAACTTTATTATAGATGACATTGCTCACGAAAGCTTACTACTACGTGTTAAAGCCCTTTGAGTTCTCCGATACCACCACGAAAGGGTTTGGGCGTTGCGCGTTGTTCGGCGTCATGTCCGACGTTTCACTTCCATGTTCCGGCAGCTTTGGGGGAGTTTCTCTTACCCCGGGAACTGAATTCAGTAATCGGAGAAGAGGCTCGCACAGTCGCACGCAGCGCGTCAAGTGAAACGTCGGAGATTCATTGTGGCGAGCATCCTGTACAAGGCCCGACGTGCTCGCACCTCAGCCAGCTGCACAGCACAACCGCGGAAACCTATGCAGTGCTAATACAACTGTAGTGAGTCCACCTGAGTCGGAGACGTTGTTCTTTAGAGGCAACACATTTATTATAACATCAACACGTTAACACGAAGGGGTAACTGCCCCTAAGGTGGTGACCACCCAGCTAACTAGACTATACGTAGGAGTTACAGCTGCCTAGGGTCGGGCCCTCACTCGGGTCCCCGACCACGTGTTGATGCCTCGTAGGACGTAGAGCTTCCAGCTTGTAGACGTAGAGCTTCCAGCTTGTAGAGGTGGGGCTTCCAGCTGTCGAACGAAGAACCCCGGTCTCTCTCAGGGACCCGCCTTATATCTCCCCCCCCCCCCGGGTCGGGGCCGCTTCGCCCTTGGCCCCGCCTGCCTTCTAGAGAGTTCTAGCTCCCTCTCCATCCCTCTCGAGAGCTCTCCCTGGACACGTGATCACCCCCTTGCCCCCCCCCCACCTGGGGCCCTCTCTATGGACACTCCAGATCACGTGTCTACGGGGTCAACCAGAGTGCCATGGCCCGGGGCAACCCTGCCCCTGGGCTGAGACTCTCCCCCTTGTGGGAGCCCGCACTACGCGCTGTGCATGGTGCCTGCGCTGTTCCAGCGCTCACCAAGCCCCGCTAGGGCTGGTACTACACCCGCCTACGGGGTGTACGCGATGACGGTGTATCGCACGCCTTGCTGTGCAATAGCTGACATCACACAGCAACCCACCCGGTGCTGTCCTCGATGTAGGGACATCACACGCCATGGCCCTCCCGAGCCGCCACCATACAGTGACATCCCCGATGTCACTACACAACTATTAATAATTATTCACTCACTTCCTTTTCTTTTACCAGGTAAGAGGCCCACTGAGCTCCTTTTCAGAGGCAACCTGGCCATCACGAATGATACCTCAACTAAGTTGCTTATGGTCACGTGGACATTTATAGCAGTCATATACTCTAACACTCTAACACTCTAACACACGTGGAGGGAAAAACCGGAGGACCCAGAGAAAAATCGACGCAACCACAGGGAGAGAGAGACATGCAAACTCCAAATATACAGCAGGCGTCAGGATCGGAATCGAATCTATGACCTCCCGCATACCAGGCGAGGTAGTTAACACTCCGTACCAGTGCGAAGTTTGCATCCCGCGTTTCTTCCACTTAATCGAGACCGATGGATATGTTTTCTTATCAAGGTTTCTTGTTTTCTGTCCAAAGATTCTCCTTGAACTCTGTTATCGCTCGGAGGCCGCGAATCTTTCAAGCCTTCATGCTGTCTGCAATGTAGATGTGTGTGTGGTTGTTTATTAACAAAAAACTTCACTTGGGTCGCTGTGAAGTTGCTGTGCGTGGCCTGAGACGCGCGTAAAGTTTCGTGGGGTGAAATGGTGGCGCAGTGGTTGGCAACGCTTCGCTATAAACCCATCGGTCCGAGTTCCATTCTCGGCCATGGCATACCATCACCGGCGAGTGATATTTGAACCGGTTCACGGGTTCCGCTCCCCTTCACGAGCCCAAACTCGCCAACGCGGGGAAGTATGGTCAAACCACCCCCATGCCTGGCACGACATGAGGAAGACTTCGTCCAGCATTGGATTGACCAAGGGTTGTTAATGACGCATTATGTTTCCGCTCGGGGTGCAACGATCCGCTCCCACCTCCTCCTCAAGATCCAGTGAATTGTCTCAATCCAGGGCCACAATTAAATCAAGAGTTAATTCGTGAAGGAAGTTATCCATTTACTGTAGCAGCCTCTTGAGACTGGACGAGCCGCACTAATCCATTACGTCAATTGATTGAAAAGCCAAATCCTCAAACGCACGTGTCCTGTGGGTCAGAGTTCGGGGCGCTGAGCTGACACCACTGAGGCCCCAATCCAGATTTCAGCCGCCTGTGATTCAACGCGGTTCTCAAGTGCAGTGAGTGGATGATGGCCACAGCGCGGTCACTAATGGCTGCGTACAAAAAAGATCAAGTTAAAATTGGTTCTGCACTTAATGTGGCAACATTTTAGCTCTGGGAATAAACATTTAGGTTCGACTGTTTTTTCAGTGAACATTACTCTCATATGCAGAGCGGGTAGCAAAGCGCAGCCCTCTACCGTGTGGACCCCAGGGGTCATTCGAAGTAATTTCAGAAGTAGCTCTGTGATATCCGTTTCTTCGGGCCGTTTCCTTAACACAAAAGGGTTGCGCTGCTCTGCGAACCATGAACTTCACCCAGAGACTGGGTCGACGCACCATCGCGCCGGTACCAGGAGAGCGTTGCCTGGGCATGAGGGTTCACCCTCCTCCTCCATCTCTTCTCTGATTGCTGAACGCTCCCTTCGCACCCACCGCCAGGCTGCCACCACCGCCGCATCATCGTCAGCCGCTGCCTCCGCGAAGAAGGCGGAGGGTGGAGCCGGATGGGAAGTGGCCACCGATAAGAGCTCCCTCAGCATTCAGCTGCAGAAGAGTCAGCCCGATGTCGTCCTGTCGGTGAGGCCCATCTATCCCCCTCCCCCCCCACCACCTCTCACATCCCCCGTGTGGCCGTGATTATGACGTTTACAATGCCGCCGACATCGCAGCTTTCGGCGGGAAGCTGGTCGCTGTACCCAGGCATCGCGCGACTTAACCCCCCCGCCCTACTCCGAGGTGTAAATTGTTAGAATGACGACGACGACGATGGCATTAATCACTCTACACGACACCGGGGGTGGATTTCTTTGTATTAAGGAACAATTCTGGTACGTTTACTCGACGTACACGGATAATTGTGTTTGAATAATCGGAGTTATTGATCACCCTTGTGAGTTGAGACGCAGCGTCGGTGACAAATTAGCATTTCCATTGTGAATGCGTTGCTTTCAGTAGCTCTTACGCAACCAATGATCAAGGTTGTCATGGTTAATACATGGGCACAGGATGTTCTACCTGAGTGTAGTGACTGGTTCCTGTGATCTTTTCTCTGCTTGCATCTGGCAATAGGTTCTGCGGCTTAATGCCAATGTCGAGGTATGTCAGCCATGACGATAGGGCTTCAGGAGAGAGTTTGTGTAGGTTTGGGTTGCATGCCCACAATTGCACTGCTCTGGCTTGCGTCTTTAATTTTCCATTCATGAAGGAGGTGTGCGAATCGGCCTGTCCACGATGTTCCGATGCCGCTGATGGTTGTGTGACATCGCATGCGCACTGTGGCGCAGTTGCGGAGCAAGGAAAGTGCAAGATTGTTGAAACATTAAGAATAGGGTTTACTCTTTCTCGCAATAAAGCCTATTCATATGTTTTCATACTTTAAATAGGCTTGAGACTGGTGTAATGATCTAAATTATGAGGCACTCACCCCAAGCCAATATGCAGCCAAACCGTAATTTTAAAAAGTAGACCAAGGCCTCCTATTGGCGGAGAGAGGCCTCCACGATGATTGGTCGGGAGGGAGGGCTTTGAAGAGGTTGGAGGGGAAAGGTTTAAACGGCGAAAAGGGCGAGAGAACAGAGCGGAGGCCGCAGGCGACGGTTGGGAAACCGTTGGAGGAGAAGGACGCGGATTGGCTGCGGTTACAAAAAGAGTGGGGAAAAATCTAGATTTGAAGTTTTCGTGATTGCAGGGATCCATACTCTTTGGTTTTTTCGGTAAAGTCACGTAGGTATAGAATCAAATAAATTCAATCACGACGTTTCGATCACAACACAAGCAATCATCATCAGGTGGGAAAACCACAGCAAAACAATGTTCTTGCTGTGGGTTTCCTACCTGATGATGATTGCTTGTGTTGCGATCGAAACGTCGTGATTGAATTTATTTGATACCTACGTGACTTTACCGAAAGGATCAAAGAGTAGTGAGGGAAAAGTTCGAGAGAGCGGGGCCCGACAAGGATCAAAGGGGACGAGTTTCAAGAAGAAGAAGAAGACAAACGAAGCTCGGGCCCAGTGTTGTGGTTGTGTCAAAAATAAAGAGGCTCCTGGTACGCAGCCGCCGGTGTCATTTCGCTGGCAATAAAAGGTTCCATTTTTAAAGATTGCTGTTCGTTTTGATGAATCAAGAATCGGACTCGCGAGACAGCCCATGACTGCTGCCTCTTTCGGCCTCCTAGTGATATCAAGGTTGGGCAGCGTAGGCCTGTTTGACAAAAACATAGATCCACCGTCTAGTCTTGACAGATTGTTGGGGCAAGTGCTGTAAGCGAGCACGTATGAAGACCGGAATGGCACACGACGGGGTGGGTGGCCAGTATCCCGAGTAGCGATGTTGATACAATGCACCACCAGGGACTCATTTGAGGCTGAGTCGACCTAGGGGAGGCCCAGTACCGCTGCACCACCACTCCCTGTCGGCCTGTTTTACCAGGCCTCGAGCCCACTCAGGCACAAATCTCCCTTTTTTAAGGATACCCTGAGGGAATATAAGAAAATGCAAGCAGAAGGGCGAATGAAATGAAATGCACGAACAAATAAACCTGTTAGTGTAAAAGCGTTAAGTAAACCTAAATAAAGGGTTAAGGAATAGTCCTTCGCATTGATTTCCGTTGCGTATTTATCTCACATAAAAATCAAAGTATTCCGTCGCGATATAAGATGAGATTTAAAATGTTTCCTCCCTGCTAAATTATTGTGGAACGCTTGCTCCACGAACTGTGGGGATGCTGATGCCTGGTCACCTCCTCACCCACCCCCCTGCTCACCCACCCCCTCCTCCCACTCCGCCCCCTCCTCCTCCCCCTGCTCACCCACCCCCTCCTCCCCCTGCTCACCCACCCTCCCCCTCCTCCTCACCCACCCCCCTCCTCCACCTCCTCCCCCTCCTCCTCACCCACCCCCCTCCTCCCCCTCCGCCCCCTCCTCATCCACCCCCTCCTCCCACTCCGCCCCCTCCTCCTCCCCCTGCTCACCCACCCCCTCCTCCCCCTCCTCACCCACCCTCCCCCTCCTCCTCACCCACCCCCCTCCTCCACCTCCTCCCCCTCCTCCTCACCCACCCCCCTCCTCCCCCTCCGCCCCCTCCTCACCCACCCCCTCCTCCCACTCCGCCCCCTCCTCCTCCCCCTGCTCACCCACCCCCTCCTCCCCCTGCTCACCCACCCCCTCCTCCCCCTCCTCACCCACCCTCCCCCTCCTCCTCACCCACCCCCCTCCTCCACCTCCTCCCCCTCCTCCTCACCCACCCCCCTCCTCCCCCTCCGCCCCCTCCTCACCCACCCCCCTCCTCCCTCTCCTCACCCACCCCCCTCCTCCTCCTCCTCCTCCCCCTCCCCCCCTCCTCACCCACCCCCCTCCTCCCCCTCTTCACCCACCCCCCCTCCCCTCCTCCCCCTCCTCACCCACCCCCCCCTCCCCCCCGCTACTCCTCCTCCCCTCCTCGCAAGCAGCTGCAGTCACGCTGCGTTGGGCCGGGCAGAGTGGAGGGCTTCGCCGCGGGCTGCTCCCATCATTCCTGCTGCCCGCTGGAGCTACGGGACTGCTCCGGCCTGGCCTCGCACGTCGGCCCGCGGCCCTGGGACACGCCGCTCATCGGTGCGTCTCCAGCGCGGGCGCGGCGCGGAACGTCGTGGGCACGTCGCGGACACGTCTCCCGCTGTGTGGTGGAGTCACCGACACGCCGATCAAACCCGCTGCCTCCTCTTCTCCGGGGCCCTGCGCCCACCATCACTCTCCCCGCGCAGCACTTCAAGATGCTGTCGCGTGACGCCGCTCATGCCTTCACCCCCATGCCGATTGTGAATCCAAAGGAGGATGGGTGGAGTAGGGGGCATGTGGTCTGAGTTCGATACCCGGCCACAGCTCACGTCGGTGACAAGTGGTATCTGAACCAATCCTCGACCACCCCCCACCCCCCGCTTTCACTAACCTCAGCGTGGTGAAGTATGGTCAAACAGCTGGCACGACTAACATTGCATGGAGAGGCCTTCATCCAACAGTGGAGTGACAAAGGGGCCGCAAATTGACGTGGCAACTGAATTGGCCGCAAGAGCACGGTGCCCCCTGCTGCCCCACACGCAGCGTGGCTCCGGTAAAGAGCCGAACGCTCGTGCCGGACAGCCCCCCCGGCACTCCAGGGCCTCGTTGTGCCTCGACTGAGTGACAGCGGTTGGCCTTCAGGCTGCAGCGTGCCGAAACTAAAGCCGTAGTCTGTGACCAACATCGATTTGCCTGTCGCGGCACTGTCCTGGCCCGGTGCCGCCGTGCATCATCCCAGAGCGTCCTTGGTGCACACGTACCCACGGGGTTTTCTCCGGGTGTCTGCCCACACGTGTCAATGCTCGTTAATTGGGCGATATCACCTTCGTAAGTAGAGGACCGCAGAGCTTGGGGGTGGAATTTGTCGAGGGCCCAATGCGTCGCTACTGCCTCCTTCCCCGCTCGTCCGTGGTTCCTCCTCGCGCCTCCGAATACTTCTCTCTCCCTTCGCGAGCGAGCAGAGAAGAAGACTGTGCAGCGGAGATCAATTATTATTCCCTCACCCTATGTGTTGAGAACTTGACATTTATGAGCCTCTTATCGCCACCATCCTTTAGTTGGCATCAAGACCGATCAATTGGTGAGGCCACAATCATCGCCTGCAGTTGGGGTTAGCGATAGCTGCTTGTCTTGGTCATTCTCCTGGCACTGCTTAGAGATGTAAAATATACTGGGAATGCGTGAAATTCATGAATTACCATTCCGAGCAGCGTCTTTCATTCTAGACCGATTCGCGACGCCACTTACGCACACAGCAGGTGTAGCAATTTGATCAGGTTTTAACATTTCATATCCATCACGGAATTAATCTTCGGTCTGAAAGGCCGTTTTTGTTGTTGTCAAATTCTCGTGAGCGCGGCGTGGCTTGCGTGGCGCACCCCAGGACGGTGCGAGTTCAACCCCTGCTCGGGGTCGACTCAGCCCACCACCCAGGTTGCAAGCAATGAAGAGATTGATCAAAGGAACGTGGGGTTAACCCCCACTGGCTCGGCTCAGTGGTGCTATGAGCATCGCACCTAACACTCATTCTAGCGGGGAGAATGTTTTTTTTTCAAGAAATAAACCAACGCTAACCTCGTCTATATAAACTATTTTTATTTTACCAGCTGAGGCCCACTGAGCTACGTAGCTCTTTTTAAGAAGCAACCTCGCCGCAAATGATAGCTCAACTAAGTGGCTTATTCACGTGGAAATTTATCGCAGCCAAAAATCCACGTGACCACCCATAGTCATTGTATACAAATGGAGCCTTCCCTTCTGTGTATGTCTGTATGTCTCTATGTGTGTGTGTGTGTGTATGTCTGTATGTCTCTATGTATGTGTGTGTGTATGTCTGTATGTCTCTATGTGTGTGTGTGTGTATGTCTGTATGTCTCTATGTATGTGTGTGTGTATGTCTGTATGTCTCTATGTATGTGTGTGTGTATGTCTGTATGTCTCTATGTATGTGTGTGTGTATGTCTGTATGTCTTAATGTATGTGTGTGTGTATGTATGTCTCTATGTATGTGTGTGTGTCTGTATGTTTCTATGTATGTGTGTATGTCTGTATGTCTCTATGTATGTGTGTGTGTCTGTATGTCTCTATGTATGTGTGTATGTCTGTATGTCTCTATGTATGTGTGTGTGTCTGTATGTCTCTATGTATGTGTGTATGTATGTATGTCTCTATGTATGTGTGTGTGTATGTATGTCTCTATGTATGTGTGTGTATGTCTGTCTGTATGTCTCTATGTATGTGTGTGTGTCTGTATGTCTCTATGTATGTGTGTATGTATGTCTCTATGTATGTGTGTGTGTATGTATGTCTCTATGTATGTGTGTGTATGTCTGTCTGTATGTCTCTATGTGTGTGTGTGTATGTATGTATGTCTCTATGTATGTGTGTATGTCTGTATGTCTCTATGTGTGTGTGTATGTCTCTATGTGTGTGTGTATGTATGTCTCTATGTGTGTGTGTATGTCTCTATGTGCACGTTGAACTTCTTTCGCACCCACCGTGCTCAGCCAGCCGTGCTAACCGACGGTGTCGCGTTCCCCCCGCCCGCCCCGCCCAGACGCGCTCACCCTGGAGTTGCTGCAGACGCACCCGCAGCTGCGGCCGTCTCACCCCCGCCGCCTGCACCCACGCCGGCCTCCCTCGCCGTGGGGCCGCCACGCGACGTCCCCCTGGCCCTACCAGCAGTAAGCAAGCCCCCTCCACCCCCACTCCCCAACCCCCCGCCCCGTCACCTCGTGCACCCCCCCCACCCCTCCAACCGCCCTACCCCCCCACTCCCCCCGCCCCCCACCCACCCCCCAACCCCCCACTCCCTCTGCCCCGTCACCTCCTGCACCCCCCGCAACCCCCCACCCCCCCGCCCTACCGCCCCCCGCCACTCCCCCCACCCCGTCACCTCCTGCACCCCCCCGCCCCTCCAACCACCCTAACCGCCCCCCCCACTCCCCCCCGCCTCCCCCACTCCCCCCGCCCCGTCACCTCCTGCACCCCCTGCCCCCCACCCCCCCACTCCCCCCGCCCCCCAACCCCCCACCCCGTCAACTCCTGCACCCCCTGCCCCCCCCACCCCCCCACTGCCCCCGTCCCCCAACCCCCCACCCCGTCACCTCCACCCCCCCGCCCCCCCGCCCCTCCAACCACCCTACCGCCCCCCCCACTCCCCCCACCCCGTCACCTCCTGCACCCCCTGCCCCCTCCACCCCCCCGCCCCCCCCGCCCCTCCAACCATCCTACCGCCCCCCCCACTCCTCGTGTCTTCTGACCCCGCGGTCTCCGCGTCACCGTGACGCCCCTCAGTGTGGCTCCTCTCGACAGACCCCTTCCCGTTACAGCGGCGGAGGAAAATAATTTTACCGCAAGAAAACAAAAAGCAGCCAAAGTATCCATGTTTAGTGTAAATTCCGTGCGGTGCCTGCCAAAGGTGTTTTGCATCTTGAAGAAAATAATGACAGTTCTATTTTTAAAGTGCTTATTCTACAATAAATATCCGCAGCACGCCAAGGAACACGAAACCCACTAACGAGCATGCGAAATGCGTCATTGGAAAATGATCGTAAAATCACACGGCAGCCGACAACCCAATGAAAGAAGGTCGTTGCCAGCCTCACTGAATCATGGATGTCCAGTGCGTACTGCAGGAGAAATACTCCAAATGTGTTGATCCAGTAGTGCGTAGAGACTGGTTAATAGGGATGGAGATGGTTGTTTTTTGTTGTTGCTGCAGCTCAGGTTTGCTGCTTGAGTCGCGTAATGTGTGTATGTTGAACGTCTTTCGCACTGTACGTAGCCAACCGTGCTAATCGGAGGTGCGGGGGAAGGACAACAAGCCGAAAACAAAAAGCAGTTCGAAAGAAATGAGTTTTCAATCTGGAATTAAAAGTTGCACACCTCCAGTAGCTTCCTAATGTTGGGAGGAAGAGCATTCCAGACGGCCGCAAGAGCGCATCTGAAAACGCGCGATGCGGTGGCCGTCTTTGTTCGACGGGCAGCCAAAAGCCGCCGCTGCTGCGAGGATGACCGAAGTCCACGTGATGGTTCATGCTGCTTGACGAGTCTTGCGGTCCACTTGTGGCCAATGAGTTTGTGTGTAACGAGTGTGACCTGGTAACGAATTCGTTCGGCAACTGGAAGCCAGTGCAGCTCGGTGAGCACCCGACGGGCACGGCCAATGAGGCAGAGGAACAGCATTCTGGGCGTTCCGTCGGTCCACAGAGGAACGCGTCGCATCACGGAGTTGCCGCCAAACTAAAGCGAACACTAGGGCTGGAACGACGGATGAATCGATTCGTTGATTAACGAGGCAGGTGCGGGGTTCGCGTGCGTGAGAATCAACGTTTTTTTATTTTGTGTTAACGGGTTTGCCTAGCCCCGTGCAGCTGATTCGATTCACCGCAGTGTAAACACAAACATTTTAAAGCCTAAATGTGCCGATCCATTTCATTGGATCACCAGGGGGAGTTGAATGCTCGAATCATGCCTGGGCCCTGTCAACCACGACCCCTTGCCTGTTTTGTAACACGTTTTCTTAATTGGCTTCTGCTTCAAAGTTTAGTGCGTGTTGTTTTTGGGTGCCACGGTGGCCAGATGTTAACTACCTCGCCTGGTATGCAGGAGGTCGTGGGTTCGATCCCGACCCTGATGCCTGCTGTATATTTGGAGTTTGCGTGTCTCTCTCTCCATGGCCGCCTGGATTGTTCTCTGGGTCCTCCGGTTTTTCCCTCCACATTTAGAATCAACAACGTGCGATTTTGGCTGCTATAAATTTCCACGTGATCAGCCACTTCGTTGAGCTGTCATTTGTGATGACCAGATCACTTCTGAAAAAGAGCGACATAGCTCAGTAGGCCTTACCTGCTAAAATAAAAATGTGTTATTTGTAGTCCTTGCCAGAACGATAGAAACATTGGGTCATTGCCTTCAGATTGCACCACTGAGGGTGGTCACGTTTTGGCCTCGGACACCCAGTGATGCTCAGGCAAGTGGCACACCGAGCGGCAGGATTTCTCCGCGCTAAGTAATCAACGATGTTATCTTTAAAAGTTGTCTCACGCGAGGCGACTAATACGGTTCTCACCTTAGTTCCGGGTTTTCATTTGCGGATTGTTAAGGCAGGTGTTCGTCCGTGCAATGCAATCGTTGACATAGTGACTCCAATGCACGCTGAGGCAGTCCAGCACAATCCGTGTGTGGCTGCGTACATGTGCGCGTCCTCGTCCATGCTACCCCCCTCCATCAACCGGCACTGACCACTGTGGTCAAATAACCCTCGTGACCTGAAGGCTTGGGGAGGCCATCGGCCACTGAAGAGCTGTTGACCCGCTGCCCTCACGATGTGGAGTCGAAACGACTCCACAGTGAATGGAGCAACACACCATCTCATCATCATCATCATCCCCCCGATTCCGGAAGTTTACGTCACAGAGCGACTTCAACATAGCGCACAATAATAGCCACTCGCTCACTTGATCCTCGTCACCAGCGCTATCACAGCCAATGAAACAACGAGGCCCTGTCTGCGTAAGGGAAGGTCCCACGAGGAATCCGAGTGTCCTTGTCCAGGGCCTCTGTCCAGCGCTCGCAATAAGTTGCGTACTGGACCTGTTCATCCGTTCATTTGGTGTCCATCGGCGTATTTGCACCGGTTTTAAAATCTCTCCATTGTCTGGCCCCAACGTATCATCTTCGCTTCCCTCATCTCGTCCTTGCGCTCCTTCTCGCCCTCTGTGTTCACAATCCCAGCTGTCTCTCCGTCTCTGTCCCCCCTCCTCCTCGTGCCCAATCACCATTCCGTTCTTTCTCGCTTCTGGCCACCTTACACTGGAACAAGCTGCCCCTTAACCTCAAACAATCAGCCTCACTCTTCATATTTTGTTCTTCCCTTAAAACTCTCTTACTTTCCCTCGCTTACCCCAACTCTCCTCCCCCCTCCCTTCTCCATCGTTAACACCGTCACCCCTCTTCCCAACTTCTCTACCCATTCATCGCACTCGCTCATCATCATGAACCACTCATTGTCACTTTCGTCATCGTCTATTTAATTTAGCATCATCATGTACTAGCATCCATCTCACCTCATCAGACACTATTCTGCTGTACAAAGAGCTAATGCTTTGTTCAGCGCATTGGTCGAGGTGCTATATAAATAAATAATAAGTTGAGATCAGTGACGACCGCCTGTGTGGGGCGCAGACCCGATGCACGGCACTGGTCGATTTACGCATTTAAAACATTCGGGTTTGGCAGAGTTTCTCTTGTGCAGTCGTTCAGCAGTTACAATGCAAGGCTCGAGTTGGCGCACCCCCCGTTACTTGTTGTGAAGGATTATGATAATAATTACAGCTTTTTATAATCTGAAGGTACTTGACATCATTGAAAATGGGGCGGTGAGGTTGCGAGAGAAGTTGCGAAGTTTAAATGGAAAATGCCTCCTGAAAGAGAAATGTCCGTTAGGCCGGGACTTCAAGATCGCCACCGAACGGGACTTCATGACACAGCCGTGGGCAGTCACGGAAGGAAGGCCCAGAGATCGCTGCCCATGGACTTCACCTTCAGCCCTTTACCAGCCCCCCCACCCCCCCTCCTGCCCGGGCGAACCGCGCCGCGACCGCGGCCGCGTTCGCAACGCGTCGCCCTTCTGCTTCCGTCGTGCCTAACGATGGACCGCTCTCGCCCAGTGTCGGCACGCAGACGGAGCACAGGGAGGGCCACCAGGCGCCCAAGACCCGGCGCGTCTCCGCGGCGACACAGACCAGCGAGGTGAGCGTGCTTCCCTTGTCGTCGTCGTTGGTAGTTGTCGGTGGGTCGCTCGCTCGCTCGTACCCGAGGCGTGGGAATTGTTTGCGAAGTCGCCACGGATCACGCTCCGCTGGCACGTGGCCCCGCCGCTAGCGAGCAAGCGCTGGGTAGACTATGAGACCGCAATGTCCACCACGTTGCCTCTTGGTGTGAAGGTAATGTAACTTTGTTCGTAATAAAGATTTGTTCGGTTAGGGGCCGTCCATAAATGACGTCACGCACCTGGGGTGGGGGGAGGGGGTCAGACATTTGTGACGATGTGTGACGAGGGGAGGGCGGTTGAGAAATGTGACGTCACATCAAAATGTGCAACTTTAAATAAATATAGACAACACGTTCTACTTAATTAAATAGACTTTTTAATAAATGTGTTCACATCAGAGTGCAGCGCCACATTAAATACGCACTACAATGATAATAGTTTAAAGCGAATTGAAGCATGTTTTTTTTTGGGGGGGGGGGGGTAGAGCTTTGTGACGTCATATTTGAGGGGGGTCTGACTTTTTGTGACGCCGTGTGACTAGGGGGGGGGGGGGGGTCAAAAATCGTCCAAAATCGCGTGACGTCATTCATGGACGGCCCCTTATAAATATAAATGTGTCGTTAACCCACCACCACCTGACACTGCCAATCAGTAAGGTTTGTCACGTAAACAAAATGTGCCAATTAGTTACTAATACAGCACACCGGTTCTGTGTTGGAGAGTAAACCCACAACGTTTACAATTGTTACCCAAAAACCCATTATTATGAATAATATTGGTGTCAAAAGGCAATGTGCTAAACCAAAATAACTTTGATAATTGGTTCTTTACCCTTCTATCTGGCAACAAAACTGACACCTTTTTGCAAGGAGTCATGTTTGCATAGACCGCAATACCTGCAGTCATAATGCAAACAAAAGAACATAACTCTGATAATGTGCACTGTCCTTGAAGTTGATTGGTCCACACCCGAGACAGCTTTCCTTAGAGCCTAGTCTCATATGGGTTGGACCAGATGACGCCAAAAGGCGCACAACTCAAGGACAATGCACCATCAGAGTATGAGAGCTCGGGGCAAGCATCTACACTATGGGAACCTCATTTGCCAGTAAAAATATGATAATTGGTTATTTACCCTTCTATCTGGCAACAAAAATAACTTTGTTTGTGGGAAGTATTTACATCAACAGACAATGCACATTGTTATTGAGGCCTTTTTTAACTGAGTAAGTGTTGTGGCCCCATAAAAAAACGACTCCACACATGTACACGACATAAGCATACAAATGCGCTGCAAATACTCGCTCATGTGCACGCACATAGGTACACAAGTCCACATGATAAGCCACTTCGTGGAGCTATCGCTTGTGGGCAGGTCGCTTATTAAAAAGAGCTACGTAGCTCAGTGGGCCTTACCTTGTACAATAAAAAATAAGTTAATATTTGTTGTTTAGTATTTTTTCCAGAAAGGGTAAAGCCTATTCTGCTCCCGTCATCTGATTGGTCGTCTCTGCACGGTTCTTTTTGCGGGGTTTGCGTATGGCATTGGAAGCGGGTCGCCGCGAGCGGAGCGAACGGTTTTGTTGCCAACTCCGGCAGGTGATGGACAAGCCCTGCTGTTGCCTCCACCCCGGCATGTGGCTGCCTCCGTTCCCGTCGTCCGGCGCCACCAGTGTGTCCCACAGCTCCGGCCTCGACAGGATCGACGGCGCAGAAGGCGCGGCGGTGAGTTTTCAATCCAGGCAGGGTGTGGGCCCTGCAATGATGCAGGCCGGTCCATCGTTGGTAAAGCGCAGGGCGTAGGGCGTTGCGTTGTCAGCGGCGCGCTGCCGGTTGGTAACGTTTGGGAGAGCCTCACCGAGTCTCGGGACTTTTTTGGGAGGATCGCTCGGGGTTTGTTTGAGCAGTCGTGCTCCATTTTTAAGGAGTGGGGTAGACAAGACAATGATTGAATTAACTTCATATGTATGGCGATGTTCCGTGAGTGGTCGTCAGCCCGCGTAGCCACACAGAGTCATGTGACAGCCTCCTCCTGCAGCACGTGCAGGGCAACAGCAACCAGTCCGCCCAGCACGCCCTGGCGCACTTCACAACCGGAGACGATTTGCTCCATGGTCTCCTGCTCCCCGCACTCACACAGCGCGGCTGTCACGTAGTACGCCCCATCGATGTTCGGAAGCGGCACACTACACCCTGCCCAGGTCACGCCAGGGTCACGTGATAACACCCACCAATACAAGCGGATAACAACTCAAAGATGCACACAGATGGGTTCACGAACCCACCGGCGGTAATCCCATCTCCTGTCCACGCCGCAGTCTCTGTGCGTTTGAGAGTTTCGCAAATGTGTGCCCAACTTTGAACGTACGTACAAGTGGTCACCACGACTTGGCTACACGTGGGGTTCCTCCCCACCACCCAAACTAGGAGGCTGTGAAATGGAAGTGTACGATAAAGAGTTGAGGCACACGCTCAGGACGAGGCGGTGATGTGAGAGGGCCGTGGGAGGCCGGGACGGTGGCCTCTCACTGCAGACCGCACCATCCCGCAGGTCTCACCGGCTGGAACATTTTTTCCGCAGAGTCCAGAATTCACGCTGCACATTCCATGATGCCGTCGTCCAGACACTCGCTGGTGTGTGTCATCTCAGGCTGGAAGTTAAAAGTGATTGTTGGCTCTGAATTCAGGAGGGGCAGTGCCTGGAATCAACACATTTAAGGAGGATGAGGATTTGCACGTGTTTGGTGCCAAAATGCCGAAGCTTCTCGGAGCGCTTTAGAGTGCACGCCATAAAACACGGAGCGCCGAGGGCAGGAAGGGAGAGGATGGTGGGAGAAGACGGAAAAAAGGGGCAACAAACGTGGGACATCACCAGGAAAGGAAATGATGACAAGCCTGGACACGCACACATGCGCACATGCACAGCTCCCACGTGCGTGCCTGCGCGCATGTGCGAGTCCGCACGCATGTGCGAGTCCTACGTAGCTCAGCGAACGGCCCCCCCCCCCCCTAATTTTAATCGTCGCTCTCCACGTCGCGTGAGACACGCCCATCAAGTAGCTGGGGCGTGCGGTGCGCGCAAAACTCGCAGAGACGCACGGCGGCTGCCGCGACGACGGCGATGGGGCCGCAAGCAGCGATCGGGGGCGGGGGGTGGCCCTGGGGACCGCCGAGGCAATGCTCGTGACCGCGCGTCATTTGCCAGGACCGCAGCCTGCGCGGCGAAAAATAGCACGGGGTTAATTGCCTGGTAAATGCACGTGCATCTCTAGATGGCGGCCACGGAGGGTACAATGTTTGTTTGTTTTCGATGTCAACGATGGTTCGAGCACAGGCAACGCGCGACAAAGGCCACAAAAGATTCGGAGGGGTAGAAATAATGAAGGCATTTTAGGTCGCCTCCTATGTTTTTATTTTTTTTATGTCAGTCGTGTTTCAGTTATCTCCCTCTCTCTCCCCTTGTCATCCCTTCCTCCTTACTTTAGACATTTTTTTTACCCTTTTCCGTGGGACCCCCCCCCCGTATTGTTTGTTGCAGCGAGTCCATTCCCCATCTTTCTATCTCTTGCTTTTCATAACCGGTTTAGCTTAAGTTGACGGTGTTGTCACGTGCGTCACAACGTGATGTAACAGGCTCGCACATTGCCTCAATAAATGTTTAAAAAGGCCACAAAACACGCCAAAACGGCACAATGCCGTCGAAGGTGTAGTAGAAAAGATTTGAAGGCGTTTCTTGAATTGAGCAAGGTCGTGAGAAACTCGGGTCAATGAAGAGACGACGGGAGGGAATTCAGAGTCGGGGCATTGGGAGGAGAGCAGCAAACAGAGCTGCAGTGTTGGTGGTTGGACGCAGGATTTGAAGTCGGGGGCGACATGAGCTGAGGTCACGCTGCCCGTCACAGCTGGCATCTTAAACTGCTCCACGCTGCTGCTCGGATTTTGATGTTGACATAATTTTCACAATTACAAACGCAATTGCGAGCCGGCCTTCGCCAGCACCTGTCCATTCTCCGTTGTCACAACAACAGCAACAACAAATTCCGCAGTATAAATGTTTTTGGGCTTTTATTTCTAGAACCCTCCGTTGGCACCACATTTGCGGTTATTAATGCTTTTCCAAAAGTCACTCCAATTAAACACACGTCCGAGCCAAGCCAAACCCCTGGCTAAATCAAACAAATTTCATGAGAAATGTTTATATCTAAATGTTTGGTGTTGCTTGTGTATCTGCCACAGCTAAATATGTAAACAGAGCCCATTTAAATGTTTCATGCGACTTCCCATGCTCTTCCTTGCCCCCCAGGGTAGACTTTCGCTCGCCTCCTCTGGCGGTCACCTCCACGGTTTCCTCCTCACGTCTCCACGCCCAGCTCCTGCGCTTATTATTATTATTATCCTTTCCCACCCTCCCATCATCCCCGACGCCCCATCTCTCACGCAGCCGACCCCTCTTTCCCACACCCTTCTCCACCATGTATCCTCCTCCTCCGCAGTACTTCCTGTCCCTACACCACCCCCGTCCCTTCGCCACCCCGTCTCCTGCCACCCCGTCTCCTGCCACCCCGTCTCCTGCCACCCCGTCCCCTGCCACCCCTCTCTCCTGCTACCCCTGTTCTGTCACCGCCTCACCCTTTGCGTGCCCTCACTCTAGGCCGGTAACATCACAGGGGCCATGTCAAATGGAACGTGTGTGCATTTTGGTCACGAATTTCACGGCCAACTTGAATCGTCTTAAGAGGGACTTTTAAATAACTTGGCGGGAATATGAGAACATTGCTACAAAATGGGACCTTTTTGTCAGTATTTGATAGTGCCAAAAAAGGCCCCATTTTGAAGCTGCTCACCCCGAGCTATCAATGCCCTGAGTGCATTGTCTTTGTGCTGTTCGCCTTTTGGCATTCTCTGGTCGAACACTGGTGATGAGACTAGACCCTAACGAAGGCTGTTTGTGGTGTAGGCCAATCAGTTTAAAAGACAATGCATCTTTTATCAAACCATGTTTGTTTGCATGTTCACCACAAGTACATGTGGTTAATGCAGACTTAATTCCTTGCAAAGAGTTTCTATTAGGTGTTTGAACATCTTCACACCTTTCGATTTAAAGATTTCGTGACTGCAGGGATTCATCTTCTTGGTTCTTTCGGTAAAGTCACGTAGAAGGGAAATAATAAAATAATAAAAATAAAACATAAGCAGCCGTCCTCAGGTGAAGAACATTCAGACACTGTCTTTCCGACAGACCTGTTCTTCACCTATAGATGGCTGCTTGCGTTGTGGCCGAAACGTCGTGAGAATTATTTTATTATGTTTTATCTTTATTATTTTATTATTTCCCTTCTACGTGACTTTACCGAAAGAACCAAGAAGATCTTCACACCTGTTTTATTGCCAGAAAGGGTAAAACCTATTCTTATTTTTTTCAAATCTGTCGAAGCTTCATCTCTAGTTTCGAGAATGTACCTCACGCTTGGGAGACAATTCCAGCTTGATATTACGCAATATTGAAAGTTACATTTAATTTTTAAAGCTTCGGGCTGAAAATAGAATTAGCCGTTCCTAACGTGACTGCCAATTGGCAATGCGTCTATTTTCTGTTTTTGTTTGTACTTGCCTACTATACTTTCTGTCGCAGTGGTAGAAGCAAACCACAAGAGAAGGAATATTTAGAGGAGACAGATTATGAAAGATTCTGATTCAAATCAATACACAACATTTACAAATGTATGAACGTGTGCGCGTGCCACGATCGGAAACTTGGGTTGTGGGAAAATAAAGTTGGCAGCCTCATTGCTGTGGCAGTGATTAACTCCAAACATTCTCGTGGACGAGCCTTCTGCCGGCTCGTACAGCTGCCCTCGCGAGCGCCGGGGCGGCTTGCGTTCAGCTAGAACGTGCGACGTTGCCTGCAGAGAGGTTCCTGTGCGTGCGAGGAACGAGCGTCTTACACCCCCCCCCCCCCCCCTTGCGTTGTTCCGCTGCCCCCGCGCAGTGTGGGGCCCGCAGCCGGCTGCCTCCAGGAACCGCGACGCCGTCCAGTCCATCGGACGCCTCCGATGCTTCGCCCGACATCGACACGAGCGGCAAGGCTCAAATAATGTGAGCGCATCCACCTCATGCCTTGCATGCGCTGGGTTTTTTTTACCTTCCCTCGCGGATTTGTTGAACGCGACTTCTGTTGACTCGGTTCGGCGCCCCGGATTAATTCCTGGCACTCTTTTTTAAAATCCAGCTCGCCTGTGTGTGTGTTTTTTTCCCCCTACTCACGGTTTAAACCTCACAAGAGCCGTAGTAAGTACAAAACAACAACTCTCTTCTGAAGCATATCGATTGAAATCGTAAATGAATTGTTTCGCCAAAAAGCCGTGCTCGCGGTGGAACGGTTTGCCGGCGCGAGAGTCGCCCGTGGACTAAGTAACAGCGTCGTGGCGGCGCAGCGATTCTGGGGTACGTGTTGTTACGATGTAAGCTCCGCGATAATTGCATCGTCCGTTTTCTTAAAATATCGCCTTATCTTGATTACCATTGGTCGTATCTCGTATTCCCCATCCCTTTCTTTCCTCACGACACATTTACAAAATCGAAAGCAAAAAAAGCACATGAATTAAAAGTTGTAAATAAATAACTACTGCCTTTGCCTATTCATTCGTCCTCAGCAAAAAAAAAATTCGGCGTAACTATAGGCTGTTATCGCCTACTTATTTCTCGCATAGCTGACTGCACGTGCGTTCTATACAAGTCACAGATTGTCTCATGCCAGACCCAAGTGGAGTGAACTCGAGTTGCAGGAGCTGACTTGCGATCTTTACTTGTGCCAGACTCGTACAGCAATGCACGAGCAAACGCTGGAAAACATTCGCGAAGTACAATCGCAGAGTTAATGGTAACTGGTATCGCAAAGACCAGGTCATGTCGCGAAAGTTCACATTGTTCTCGTATTACGTTGTGAAAGATTATATCGAAGCAATCCTCATTAAGACGATTCATCCTGTACCACGAGCAAATTTCAAGTAGCGACAGCTCTAGTGAGGATCAGAAACTTGCAAACTATCCTCTAGCAGCATGAAGACATGCAGTGTTCAACACGATTAACACTAGAGACTCAGTCAACGTGCAACGTTTACTGCACCGTACATAGCCAACCGTGCTAATCAGAGGTGCAGGGGAAAGACAGCAAACTAAACACAAAAAGCAGTTAAAAAGGAATGAGTTTTAAATCTAGTTGATTTACAAGTGCATAGCTCCAGTGGCTTCCTAATATCGGAAGGAAGAGCGTGCCAGACGGCCGCAGAAGCACATCTGAAAGCGCACGATGCGGTGACCGTCTTTGTTCGATAGTCAGCCAAAAGGCTCTGCTGCTGCGAGGATGACCTGCGTGATGGTTTATGGTCTTTGACGAGATCAGCGAGGTTATTGGTGGTTCAAACAAGGTAAATGTTGTGAGTTTACTTTCCAACACACCGGTGTGCTGTACTAGTAACGAAATGGCATGTTCTGTTTACGTGACAAACCTTACTAATTGGCTGTGTCGGCTAGTGGCTGGTTTAATGACACATTTATATTTACCCGATCTAATCCCCCCCAAAAAACCCCTCTATTATGAATGATATTGTGGTTCACGCTGGGCCAATCATGGCACGTGTGGTTGTAACCATTGGACCGGCATTGACGCAACGTTGGCCCAACGTTCCATGTTCACTGGGTAGAAGACTGGTGAGTAAGTTAGAGATCTATATCACACTATGTCAGAAACAACATTTGCTGGCTGACTGGTGGGAAGGTCGAGGGAGGGGAGTTAGGAGTGGTGGTGGTGGTTGAGGGACATGTCCAAAGGATGAGCAGGCTGCTATTTATGAGCACAACAACTTGTGCATGCTTGCAGAGTGATTGCGGTGTAATGTATGCAACGATTCTGTGATGTGAGCACACTTTTCTCTTAAGCAATTCCACGTGTGGAATGTACGCCTTACGATGGTATTGCCACCCCAAGTTATAAGATTTGGTAAACTTATCACGTATACAAGCTGCTCAAGCAACCTTAGAAAGGTGTGTTAGTTACAGTCGGTCAAAGGTTACGTAAAGTGACCTTCCACGTTCATGTCGAATAAACGGACCAGTTTACACATCGTTCGAAAGTCCATTTCAAGTCATTAGAAGTGGCCATCTCTCTCAGCTCTCTGCGTACAATAGGTCAGAGGTTACAGTCGTCAGCTCTAGGGCACACGACTTAGATCCATGTTGCACTTTTAACAGAAATGTGCATTTAATAAAGTGCTCACAACCTGGAGAGCTGACGTATAGTGTGTGGGCTCTTTCAGCGGCTGCTCTTTAATGGCTCTTGAAACAAAAAAACCAAAGCAATCAAGTTCAGCGGGAGCCGGGTGTTGATTTGCGTGTCACGACCCTGTCATACTTCTGCGAGCGATGGATGAAATGTTGTCGATAATGCCGCGGACACCGACCGTGAACGCTGCCTGCGAACTGCTCTTCCCCCTCTTCCCCGCAGGCCTCACAGCTTCAACCACAGGCGCTCCATCCGCCTGTCTCGTTCCTCGACGGCCAGCTCCATCACCTCTGTCGGTAAGACAGCAGGTACTTCAAAGCTCCTCGTTTCACGGCGGATACAATTCTCTCCCGTGCCTTTAGGGGCACTGCCAAATCACCCGAGGCAGTGTTCACCGCTCGTTTTCACTTGCGCCGATAAGACATCATCAGCGTGAGGGCGGCCACACATTTGAAACCATTGGGGGGTTTGGCAGCACCACGATGATGGGGGGGGGGGGGGGGGTGTTGACATGTTGTGTCGGGGGATGCACATCAGGGGCCGCCAGTGGCCCGCGGGTCTTGCAGTGAAGAGCGCTGACCTGGAGTCGACGGAACGCACAGCTAATAACGAGCAATATGCCGCAGCCTACACCACGAAACACTTGATACACAATGGCAAATATACCCCGTATAGCCTCTAACAGGCTGGTTCGACAAGTGCTCTAAGCGAGCACCTATTACGTCTTGCACGGGACACAACGGGGTTGGGTGGCCAGTGCTGATGCTTACACACCACACCCAGGCACTCATTTAAGGCTGAGACGGCCTAGGGGATGCTCAGCATCGATGCATATATTTGTCACTGTTTGGTGGTGAGTGGGAATTGAGCTCGGGTCGCTGGTTCCATAGCGCAGTGCGCTCACCACTGCGCCACCGCTCCCCACACTCGATATGCAAAGTTCACACACAGGGTCACAACGGTATTTGTGAAACGAAGCAATTCACAAATATTTGTTGTCTTTTTTTTGTTCTTCAGAGTTACTCATCATGCTCCACAGCTTGAATCTTCTTGCAAACGAAGAACACTTACAATGATCGGCTTCTGAAACCCGTACCTCCCGTTCGTTGATCGTGGCACGAGCGGCGATCGGCGCTCCCCCGTTTGACGCCCACACCCTCTCTGTCCACGAACCCCCCCCCCCCTCGCCGCGTGAGACGAGGATGGCCGAGTGCTGGACCTGCTCCGGGACGAGCTGCCCGAGCCGCTGCTCGCCGAGGAGGAGCATCGGCGTAACCTGCAGCTCCTGGAGGACGCGTCGCGTGCCAGCCAGCGCTTCCTGGCGCGCCCGGGCCGCCGATCACGGCACAGCCTCTCCGAGGCGGCGTCCTCGCCTGGTGCGTGACCGGGGGGCATGGGGACACGGGGGACATGGCACGAGGGCACAGGGGCATGGGCACACGGAGATGGGGGCATGGTGACACGGGGGCACACGAGGGCATGGGCACACGGAGATGGGGGCATGGGGACACGGGGGCACACGAGGGCAGGGGCACACGGAGATGGGGGCATGGGGACACGGGGGCACACGAGGGCATGGGCACACGGAGATGGGGGCATGGGGACACGGGGGACATGGCACGAGGGCATAGGGGCATGGGCACACGGAGATGGGGGCATGGGGACACGGGGGACATGGCACGAGGGCATAGGGGCATGGGCACACGGAGATGGGGGCATGGGGACACGGGGGAAGGGATGGGCAGAGAACCTCACCAGTCTCGCTGGCTCCCCGTCCGCATGACTTGACCTGCACCGTTGCTTTGCTTTGCCTGTAAAGAAGTCTGCTTCATTCCAGGTCTGTCCCCTCGGTCCACACCCTTTCCACTCCCGTCATGTGGCACGTCTCAGGCTGGCACACCACCAGGTAAGTTCACAACGTACACGGTGGCTAGGGTTGCCACCTGCCCTAGTTTTCCCAGGACCGTCCTCTGTTGTCGCTGTGCTCACGCAACACGGATCTCCCTTGTACAATAGCCGGCAACTGGCTAAACGGGATCATCCGTGTAACTTTTGTAAACACTGCTGTTATGGGAGATCTGTAAGCCTTTCCATGGACATTAAATTCCCAGTTTTGTCAGTTGTGTAATTCAAGTCAATGCGTGTTCATGTAGTTTTCTCCTTTTCTGATATTGTGAGATAACCTGCTTCCTATATGGCCAAGTTTTTGAACCTCAGAGGTGGTAATCTTCTTAATCCCGTGCCATGGCCACACCGGCATGCCTCAGTTAAACCTCGATTGCCACGGTCCACTAAATTGAAAGCTCATTTCTTTAGAACTGCTTCGTGTTTAGTTTGTTGTCCTTCCTCCGCACCTCCGACTAGCACGGTTGGCTACGTACGGTGCGAAAGAAGTTCAACAAACATACATACACACGTTTCATAGCCACATCAGCGTGCCATAGGCAGCCTGGTTTCTTGAGGTTTCGGCCAAGTTGAGAGCCTGAAGATGTTACGCCATTTGTTTGTCCATATGCGGCGACGGTACTCTCATCTCTCTCCCCCTAATCTCCCCCATTAACACAGCTGATGTGTCTTCTTGGTTCTTTCGGTAAAGTCACGTAGAAGGGAAGTAATAAAATAATAAAAATAAAACATAATAAAATAATTCTCACGACGTTTCGGCCACAACGCAAGCAGCCGAGACAGCGTCTCCCCGACAGACCTGGTCTTCACCTGTGGCCGAAACGTCGTGAGAATTATTTTACTATGTTTTATTTTTATTATTTTATTACTTCCCTTCTACGTGACTTTACCGAAAGAACCAAGAAGATGAATCCCTGCAGTCACGAAAGCTTTAAATCGAAACAGCTGATGTGCTTGCGTGCGGGGATGGGATTCCTTTCCAGCTTGGACCCCGCCTGCTTGCCCTTGGCCAACATATATAACCTCTTGTTGTAGCGGCTGTCTCGCTGTGTTCTTCCTGGTTCAGCAGTTCCACTGCTGGATTCTTTTTCCGCCTTCGGACGATCGCTTGTGTTGCGATCGAAACGTCGTGATACATTTATTTTTTCTTTCTACCTACGTGACTTTACCGAAAGAACCAAAGAGCATAATAGAGGTTATTTTGGGTTAGATCGCGTAAATATAAATGTCCCACCACCACCACCCGACATAGCCAATTAGTAAGGTTTGTCACGTAAACAGAACGTGCCAATTCGTTACTAGTTCAGCACTCACCGGTTCTGTGTTGGAGAGTAAACCCACGACGTTTACAATTCGAGTGCCGTGACATTTCGCCAGTAATTGCAACCAGCCTCATCAGGCGACAGGCAGCGACAAACATTGCGGAGAAAACCTGCATCGGCCAACGTAACTTCTCCACCCATGGCAGAGCCCGGCTGGCAGGGCAGATTGCACATGGGATGACTCAGCACGTGCAATGATTCTATTGGTAATCTCATTCACCCTGCTGTGTCTGTTTATGTTTGCAAATAGCATAAACAAGTGTCCCCGTTTCCAAGCGGTCACAGTTTACTGTGCGAGTCAGTTGGCGAGGAGAGAACTCATCCACAAATAGAAGACGTGGGGACGTGCACGAATACTTTGCCCCCTAATTGCCAGCGTCGTTCTTTCCAGAAGCAGGCAGGGAAGCAATTAGGTCACTTGGCGTGCGCAACGTACATCGCTGCTCTTGTCACTGAGCGGCACGCTGCACATGTAACGTTTTTGGGAATGTTATTCTCTTGGTTTTTCTTCTTCTTCCAAAGTAGACACTTGTGCGGGGTGGTCCTGGGGCTCAGGTGGTATCGATGGGGCGTTAACGTTACACTGAAGGGGGTGCCCACTTACATGGGGTGGAGGGGTGGAGCGGTGGCGAGATGTTAACTACCTCGCTTGGTATACAGAAGGTCGTGGGTTCGATCCCGATCCCGATCCTGACGCCTGTATATTTTGATAATAGAAAGGTTTTGGGTAGATGGCGTACATATAATTGTGTCGTTAAACCCACCACCCGACATAGCCAATTAGCAAGGTTTGTCACGTAAACAAAACATGCAGTTTGTGACTAGTTGGAGAGTAAACCCACAATATTTACAATTCAAGTACCATGACGTTTCGCCGGTAATTACAACCAGCCTCATCAGATCACAGCCAGAGTTCTGGGGAAAAATCCTCCTGATCAAACCCAAAAAACTCTTATTTATAATATTAGTCGTGGAAGCCCATGTGTTAAGCTGTATATTTAGGCTTAAAGCTTTCGTGACTGCAGGAATTCATATTCTTTGGGTCTTTCGGTAAAGCCACTTCAGGTGAAGACGATTGCTTGTATTGCGATCGAAATGTCGTGATTTAGATTTTTGTTATTTTTTCGATCTACGTGGCTTTACCGAAAGACGCAAAGAATGTGAATATTTAGGGTTTTCATGTCTATCTCCCTGCGGTTGCACGAATTATTTTCCGAGTCCTCCGGTTTTTCCCTCCACATTTACAAACACGAATTAAGAGTATTTGGCTGCTATAAGATTTTCACGCGATAAGCCACTTCGTTGAGCTATCATTTGTGGCCAGGTCGCTTCTGAAAAAGAGCTGTGTAGTTCAATGGCCCTTAGGTGGCACTACAAGCCCGGTGACCCGAGTTAAATCCCTGGCAAGCGGCTAACGTCGGTGGTGAGTGATGTTTGAGCCCGGTCGCATCACCAACCTTGCACTGACCGGGATGGTGAAGTATGGTCAAACAAACGCTATGACCGATAAGCGTGGGAACGCCACGATTCTGCAGTGGGCGATAAATGTCTGCAAATGTACACGACTGTTAAGTTGATTATCGCACGGTGCAATTACGACATTCACTTTGCCATTAGCAACTTGCGAAGTGACAACTTGGCTGGCATTCAGATGATGCGAGCTTATTCCCTGTCATCCTTCAAAAGTGTCTGATTTAAACATGAAAGCCGCAGACATTTGTCAGTCGCGTGGGACTTGAGCTGAAGCTGGCAAACCCACAGTTAGAAGGTGTCACATTCTGCTCCGATAGGATAGTAAATTGAATCTGCAGAGATTGGTATCAAGAGAGCAACCACTCGTCAGAAAGAAATCAAATCGCCTATCTAGGGGCTGCTTTGGCAGCAGTGTTTAAAGGGCCAAGCCAAAGCCACTCGCCACCTTGTCATTATCGCCACATAATAGCGGGAAAATCAACAGCAGGATAAAGGTGCTGGGCAGCAGTGGCCCTGCAGAGCAGAGAGAGAGAGTTGCAGAGAGATTGATTGACTCGTTTGTAATTGCACTGTGGGGGGAGCGATCTGTAACTGTGCATCTGTCAGCCGGTCTATTGGGTTCAACTTTACACCCTGCCCGAATAAAGGACCCTTGGCCTGACAGAGACTCGAGCATAATTAAGTCTCCATTAAACAGCAGCGCTAACGATGAAGCTGGCGAGTTTTCGAACGCATCGCACCCTTTGACGTGTGCCGGGTGTGCGGAGGGCCGCCTCTTGTAACTTCTCGCCCTGCCGCCGTTTTTTTGTTGCCAGCGCTCTCGCCGCCGCTGCCCGCTCGGGTGGCCCCTCTGCGCGCTCCCACGGCCTGCCTCGACAGCGCCGCGAGCGCCGCGGGGGCCTCCGCCGAAGGTGAGCGGTTTGGCTCCGAGCGGCGCCACGCGACACCCGGAGCTTGGAGCGTCGCTCGCCGCGGTTCTGGTTTTTTGCTCGGGCTTAGTTTGAATTCAGATCGGCGCAATGTATGTCAGAATCAGGATCTGTATTTACAGCGAAGGAATCTGACGAGCCATGAAGCTCTTTGTTGCTCATGTCCAGTGTGGGGCAGGTAATAACGTTACAATAACAGTACAAACACACGGTAGCAGTGCAAAGTACAGTAAAGGTAAACAAATCACCCAAACACGTTAAACATTTGAACAAAACTATTCCCATCCTACCAGGTAATGCCGACTAAGGTATTAACTTATTTCTCAGAAGCAACCGGACTACAAATGATAACTCAACAAAGTGGAGTATTACGCTGAAATTCATAGCAGCAAAGTAATCTCAATCATCTTAATGCATGTTTGTAGAACTTTTTTCGCACCATATGTAGCCAACCGTGCTAACCGGAGGTGCAATGTATGCTGCACGTTCCGTTTTTCCTCGGTTTACCTCAATTGTGCTACGGGCATCGCGTCACGAGGTGAAGAATTGACGTGGAAACTCTTTGGGAGCAGCACACCCCGTATGTCAGAGAGTGACTGTGGAAGAGATCTCACGGAACTTTTCCAGAATAATCCATCAAGCGCGGCAACTTTTATCCGTCACAGAGTATGAGGCCTGCATCGCCACACACCCTGCCATGAGATTAAAAGCACGGCATTGAAACCGTTTTTTTATTTCTCATATCTGCAATTCTTTCCAGATTGAGTGCAAAACCAAACTTTGAATATGATGATGTTTTTTTGGTGTGCAGTCACCAACTCGCTACACTATGCTGAGGAACCCAGTTTATAATCAAGTCCAGATTCTAATTCAGGATGTCAACGGTGCTGGCTCAATGTTCAACATTCGCTACCTCGCAACGTACATTGTATTTGTTTGGTGGGAAATGATTCGCTTTCTCTTGTCATTGATTAAATAGTCAGGCTTTAGCATTGCGTTTCAATTCAAGAATTGCTTCTGTTTTATTTCGTTTTTACCGTCTCGTTAGGATGGTGAGATGTTAGCTACCTTGCCTGCTATACAGGAGGTTGTGGGTTCGATCCCGACCCTCACGCCTGTATATTTGGTCGCTATACATTTTTCCCGTGATAAGTCACTTTGCCGAGCTATCATTTGTGGCCTTCTGAAATAGATCAGCGGGCCTTAGCTGGTAAAATTAAAATAAGTTGAGTTTTAGTTGTTAGTTTTTAGTTTTGTGCTGTGTCGCTTGCACCGTCTCGTTTGCTCAGTTCGCCTGTGGGTGACACAATGTAACATCTGAATATTTATTGCATGTGATTTGCGTAAAATAAAATACAGGCAGTCTATATCACGCAAACCATGGATCGATTTACGGAGCATCTTCCGACACGACTCTGAACGTATTTGAACAGTCGGTCTGGTTTCCGATGTGACTTGGTGTGGAGCTTTTATTATTCTCCGAGGGTTGTTGTAGATGTATGCCTATTAAACCCTGTTAAATACGGCTGATAAAAGGAAGAACACAGGGCAAGTGACGATTCTCCAGTTTCTACCGTCTATGGGAAAATAGGGGTCCGATTTTTGACGGCGGGGTTTACAGAAATGCATTGCATCGTAAAATCGGGGACCAAATGAACACGTAGGTTTTAGCGACCACAATCCTGGCAAATCGCCTGAAGAAGCTTGTTGTTAATCACCAGCTAAACGTCGTGCTCAATTGTAAATGTTGTTGGTTCTAGTCGCCGTCACACCGATGTGCTGAAGTGATAGCTGATCGGCATGTTTGTTCACGTGCCAAACCTTACTAATTGGCTGTGTCGGGTGGCAGTGGGTTAATGACACATTTATATGTACGCTCTCTAAGCCAAAACCTTTATCGTGAATATGTTATGAGAGCGGGGACCGCCTGCAGTGGATTCTTGCGCATTATGAGCCGATGCCATGTTATGGGCTTAGCATGTAATTATTTTTGAATGAAAACATGTTTTCACCGTGGTAACTTTAAGATAAACATTTTCTCACACCAACACATTGAATGTTACCCAAGTCAGAGAACTTAAGTCTCTCTGTGTGAAGTCACATTTGGCAAATCCTTCGGTGACGAACTTCTCACGAGTAAAACTAATTATTTGGCGAATATGTGTTGGCAGTATTGATAATTCACATTTGTAAGTCGCATTTCATTCGTAGATTCGCAATGCGCCAGCTTGTTTGGAAAGCAGGAAATAAACAGAACCTGCAGGGTAAATGGCCAGAACTATCGTGTGAAGGCCAGTCTACAGAGGTGAGTTTTCAAGACGGACTTAAATATCTATAACGACTCTGATTGTCTTTACTACCAAAAGGAAAGCGTTGTCCCATCGTCTGGGAGCTGCACTGGCAAAAGCCCCATCACCCCAGGGACAGAGCCTTGACCGCGGTGTACTTAGAAGAAGGCGATCCGCAGATCTCAGGAACCTCGTTGGAGCGTCAACACGGATCAGTTCCTGCAATTATTGTGGGGCTAACCCATTGAGAGCCTTCAAGGGGAAGCGCAGCGGGTTGTGATCTGGATATCGTGCGCTGTGACAGATGGGACCATTGCCTGAAGGCCTTGCCTGTTAAGGCAGCGGTGTTGTTTGACTACGGGCGTTTGAGTTTTTGTTTTTGTTATTTCTTCACGAAGCGCTTTCGTGAGAAGACGTGAAGGTCGTGCTCGCTAACAGGGATCGTTCGATCGTCCAAACGACCCTGCCAAGTTGACACGCCATTCTCGTTGTCTAACCGCGCCTCCCCCCATTGGATGGAATGTATCGCAGCATTCAGTTTTGGAGAAAGAGTTTAATGTTTAGCGGTTTTAAAGAATAAGAAAAAAAATCGCGTGCTTCGCATTCCACCCTAGAATATATTTGTACCGTAGCGAATGATGTTGACAATATTGCACAATGCCCAAGTGATGCTTCAAAGTTAACCAAATTAGTTGTTGACATGCATCTTTGTGCTACGCAGAAAGGGCCATTACCCAAAAGGGTCTCACCTATTGTCTACACTTTTCTTTTTCAGGCCACACAAAGTGTTGCTGTCGAATGCATTGAGTTTGTGTGTTTTAAGCAACCCTCACTAGTTGGCTGTGTCGGGTGGTGGCGGGTTTTAACGACACATTTATATATTTACGCGATCTAACCCAAAAAAACCCTCTATTATGCTCTTTGTTTTTTTCGGTAAAGTCACGTAGGTAGAAAAAATATATATATCACGACGTTTCGATCGCAACACAAGCGATCGTCCTAAGGCGGAAAAAATAATCCATCAGTAGAACTGGCGGTACACCGGTGCAGCATAAAACAGTCTAATCAAAATTTGAACCGACATTCGCCTTCCGACTGCTTCGACATCACGAGATCTGATTTTGATGCACCCCCACCGCCCCGTAAATCGCGGGGAAACTAAATAATGGTTGCTAAAAATGTGCTTTTTTTTATACCGCGCATTATCGCTGTACCGCCAATACGTCCAAACGCTTAGCCTTTGAAGACAATTTCGCACCCACTTTTATTCAAAATGGTCGTAACTGGACAAGTTTAGAAGTCGCTTAGCCACCTTTTAGGATGATCGGTTGACCTGGAGCTCACTGCATTGCGAAAGGCTGTTTTTTAAGGACACGTTTGTGGATAGAAGTGTGTTTTGGTCTGAGCTTCGTTTGTATCAACAGACGGCAACGGTAACATTCCTGTCCTGTCGTCGGGCAGTTAAACAAAAAGGGCCTGCACTACTGCACTGCTACGTGATCTTGACAAGCGTTATAAATAACTGAACTCACTTGAGTAGGTTGGTACGTGGGGAAAACACCTCGTTTATTACATCTTAATCGCAACTTTAAAAAATGCAAGGAAAACGCACATTGTTAATTAATTCGTGTACTACATTATCTTCTTCCAGTCCCTGGAGGTCCGTGCTGTGCCCTGCTATGGACTTGCCCTCATTTGCAAGCAACAAAATAGATAAGCAGACAAATACGTCGTCTTCGTATACCCGCCTCTCCACGTAGAAAATAACAAATTACAGAACCCATTGGCCGCACGCTCTTCTGCAGTGATTCCGTACAAACAGCACTACATCAACGCGGCTGACGTGATGCACTCCCAGATGGCCGTGGGACCTTGATGGGTTGTGCAACAAAAAAAACGTTTCATTTTTTTCTTACATAGAGAGACCGATAACATGAAAGAGACATATTGTCTGCTTATATATTTTGTTATTTATGTTCTCCACAATAACTCTGATGACTATTCTTTTGGTTCTGCGTCCCATGGGCCCTAATGTGTCTCTGCCCAAAGACGGCCTTTGTCAGTCGTGAAGTCCGAAAGGGATTACCCAACCACGGAGTGATCAGGAGGGGCATTGCTCAGCATTAGGCATGGAATGAGGCATGATCACTGATCTCGTCAAGGAGCATGAACCATCACTGCCAACTCCGGTCATCCTCGCAGTTGCGACTTTTGGCTGCTGGCCTTCGAACAAAGACGGTCACTGCACCGTGCACTTTCAGACGCGCTTCTGTGGCCGTCTAGAATGCTCTTCCTTCCGATATTAGGAAGCCACTGGAGATTGAAAACTAATTTCTTTAGCGCTGCTTTTTTGTGTTTCGTTTGTTGTTCTTCCCCCGTACCTCTGATTAGTACGTTTGGCTACGTACGGTGTGAAGGAAGTTCAACACACACACATACATACTTGCTTACATTGATTTGTTGAAATTGATTCGAGAGGTGGCACATTGGCCCAGAGTTCAGAGCGCTGAGCCGACACTGCTGAGATCCTGCGTTGGAATCCAGATCCAGGCAATTCGCCAGGGATCCGACCGGGTCATCGAACGGAGTGGATAAGACTCGGCCTGGTCACCAATATACTCTTAGTTCTTTCGGTAAAGTCACATAGGTAAAAAATGAAATAAAAATTAATACAAAATAAAATAATGTTTATTACTTGATTTTATTTTTTTATTAATTTAAATTTAATTTTTGTACCTACGTGACTTAAAATTAATAAGAAATAAAATAATGTTTATTACTTTCTTTTATTTTTTATTAATTTAATTTCATTTTTTACCTACGTGACTTTACCGAAAGAACTAAGAGTATGAATCCTTGCAGTCACGAAAGCTTTAAATCTGGTCACCAATGACTGCAACAAAACCCCATCACATTAACATGATGATTCTGCATTGAATTTTTTTCTAAGTTTCAGCTGGAAGAGTTAAATATGAAATCTCCCTTTGGCCATGTAGACCAGGTCACATGACGAGATGTCAGCAGTAGCTCTGCGATATCTGCTTACGTGGGCCGGTCTCTAGCACGAATGGTTGCACTGCTCTGCGAGAACTACAAATGGATTAAATTTTGATTGAAAGCTTTCGTGACTGCAGGGATTCATATTCCTGGTTATTTCGGTAAAGTCACGTAGAAAGGAAATAATAAAATAATATTAATATAAAAAATATTATATAAATATTATTTTATTATTTCCCTTCTACGTGACTTTACCGAAAGAACCAAGAATACAAATGTATTCTTTATCCCCCGACTTGACACACAGAGCACAATTGAGCATTTGAGAGGGATTACCCAACCACTCGCAGTGCATGAATCAAATCACGCGCTGAGGAATCCATTGCTTTAAACTCATGCAGTCGCTTTCCTTCGTGCTAAATAGAATGAACGAGATGGAATAAATGATACAAAACAGAAAGTCTAAATTGAGACAGAGTAAACGACAAGGGCAGACAGAAGACCGGACTGTGTGTGCGGTACAGATTAAACAATACAAATGAGTTTCGATATAAAGCTTTCGTGACTGCAGGGATTCATCTTCTTGGTTCTTTCGGTAAAGTCACGTAGAAGGGAAGTAATTAAATAATAAAAATAAAACATAATAAAATAATTTTCACGACGTTTCGGCCACAACGCAAGCAGCCGTCCTCAGGTGAAACGCTGTCTCCCCGACAGACCTGGTCTTCACCTGAGGACGGCTGCTTGCGTTGTGGCCGAAACGTCGTGAGAATTATTTTATTATGTTTTATTTTTATTATTGTATTAGTTCCCTTCTACGTGACTTTACCGAAAGAACCAAGAAGATGAATACAAACGCGATCACGGCAGACAAAACGGGCGAGGTGAGACGAGGTGTACAAACAGGATTGGCTCAATCGCTTGAGACGGACTCCACGGACGAGGAGAGACGGCACACACGTGACTGGGCAAGTGACATCGGGCAGTTCAGATGTGAGGAGCAAATACACATGAGGCAGCGAGTCGAGGCGAGGCTCTTAAAGCCTCGCCTCTTTTCTGGATTCCCATTCTCCTCATCTGCCCCCTCCCACTGCGTACCACCTCAATCATTCTTATTTTGTCTCCGGCTTGTTTCCCTTGGTTAGACACCTCGGGCGAAGGCACTCTGTAAATATAAAACGAGATGCCGTACAAAACGGTCGACACAAATTGGTATGCCGTGGACCATCGTTAAAATCGTGTCCTTGTGTTTGAAAGTCATCGCCACGGACTTCTGACACTGAAACTTTGTAGTCGGCACCTGACGACCGTTGCTCCGAGGGAGAAAATAACAAAGATGCACCCAGACATCGCGCTTACGTTACTTTATTTCCTGTTTCATTTCCTTACATTATCCCCCCACCCCTTCCCTCACGCATGTGTGTCGAACTTCTTTCGCACCGTACGTAGCCAAACGTGGCAATCGGGGGGGGGTGCGTTCCTGTCGTCATTGTCGTATCTCATCGCAGGGTGTGCGCTGGTGTCATACAAAGATCCCCCGTGTAGCCTTCACACACCGTTGGGGCAAATACTGTTTGTTCCCCTTCCACGTGAATCTGCTGCTCCCGATCGTGAACCCCGTTCTGTGGTAGCGCCATCGAGGCCGAGTGCCACCAGACGGACACGTGCTCGTGACTTGCACCGCCCTCGGCGACGTCCGTGTTCCTATGGAATAATAATAACGCAGCGAAACATTGCGATCGCCAAATCGTGACAATCAGTCCCACCTCACGGAGGGCGAGCCGACGATGCGTGTGCGCGCCTATCGTGGTGTTTGGTTTCTGCGGTAATGACCGCGCGTGTCCAATCTGCCACGCGCGTGCCGGATGGTAACAACAGCGTCTTCACCGGGGCCAACAGCGGCAAGAGAGGCTCTGTGCGCTTGATAGGCAGTGCTGGCGGGGGGGGGGAGGAGCTGAGCGCGAGGCATAACCGTTGAGGGTTGCAAGAGAATGATCCGTGGCATTTGCTGCTAAATCTCAATTTCGTTCAGTATCCATCCTCGCAGAGTGCGAGGAGAAGTCGTGAGAGCTGTGAAGTCTCTCTCGCGGTGAAAACGAGACATCCGAGGGAGCTGAGAGGCACGGAGAGCCAATGGTCGTGTCAGGGACAGCCTACTGCTGAGATCCGGGATAGCACTCTCCTGAGCTGCCTGAGATTAGCCCACGGGCTATCATTGCCTCTTGCCCTGACCGATGGTGCGATTGAGCTGGGGCCGTGGTCGCTGCACAAGCCTCTGGCCCAGCACCGTGGCGGCAGCGAGGGTCGGTGGATCGCACAAACGTCGTGGAACTCCCCTCCCCTCCCGTGCGCGGACAGCAACAAAACGTGCCCCTCCACCAGTTCCATCTGTTTGCTTCTCACTCGCGTGGGTTTTTCTCCAGGTGCTCCGGTTTCCTGCCCACATGTAAACGCTCATTAATTCGCCAATAACACCTCGACATATATAGAGGACTGCAGAGCTTGGGCAGTTGTTGGCAATGGCTCGTCGCACGGCTGCCTTCCTGCGTGTCTGTGGCAGAGGTCGCAAACGGGTTTTGATTTCTTACCCGTACCCGTACCCTGCCGTACCAGGGTCGCAAATGGGTACCCGTACTCGGCCGGGTACGGGTAGCCGGGTATCGGGTAGGGTACGGGTATCGGGTACCCGGTTGCGACCTCTGGTCTGTGGTTCCTCCTCGCACCTCTGCGTCGTCCTCTCTGTCTCTTCGAGTGAGCGAATGCTGTGTGGCGACGCGTTCCAGATAAAAATATCTATATAATTATTGTAACCACGTGACAATACGTACAAGCCTTTGTCAATCGGCTGCTGCACAAAGGCCACTCCACGCAATGTTAGCCGTGGCGGTTGTTTGACCATACTTCACCGCGCTGTTAAGTCGAGGTTCGTGAAGGGGTGGGGGAGTCCAGGACTGGTTCAGATACCACTCGCCACCGATGCGAGTCGTCGCCGCGCTCGTCACACACAAAGTGCTCGCCACAAATGAGCCACGATACCTCGCTGATGAGATGGCGAGAGCCGTTCTTCCTCCTCCCCCCCCCTGGTGGTGTTAATGCGACGTCTCTATCTCCTCCTGCAGGTGGAATCAAGAAAGGCCCCAAGCCCCTGGTCGAGACGGTGAGTAGCATCTTGTATGTATGTTGGACTTCTTTTGCACCATACGTAGCCAGCCGCGCTCATCGGAGGCGCTGTGGTTGTATGTATGTTGAACTTTTTTCGCACCGTACGTAGCCAGCTGTGCTAATTGGAGGTGCGCAATGATGTAAATCTCCCCAACGTGTGATCCGTGTACCCCAGCAGCTTGGGGAAACGGTCCGGGAAAACTCTGCAGATGCTTTAATCTTTTGTCACAAAGCACCGGACGTTTCACTCCCCAGTCGCACTCTTTTGTTTACTTGACGTTTTACGGCGCTCCTGGAGAAGTTTTCGTTTCGAACGATCTGTCGTCGTTGGTGCTGGGCCGTGGTTGTCCACGTGAAAAAAAAAAACCTCGACGGTGTGAGACGGTGGTCGGGGGAAGCCACGGGGGCTGGAGATGGAGTGGTTGTTGTTCCATCTCACGTGGGGGGCGTCTCGCCTTCGAAAGTGAATTTGTTTTGGGTCAGACGAGTGAAATGCCAACTTTAAAGTGACTTCCAGAAGCGTGGCTTCGTTAAATTACCACGCAGTGTCGATTGCCTGACCAGGAGTTACTCTGCGTTGACCACTGATGGTGTGGAATGATTGAACCTGTCCTATTGCGTTATCTCCTATGGCCAAATGAAGAGCGACGATTAGAGATTCGTTTCTAAGTGATTTAGCCATTTAATTGTTCAATATAAGGGTTGGTGAATTGCTGATCCATCCACCCACTCACGCACCCTCCCACATACCCACAACCGCAGAGCCACCGTCCCCCACATGAATAGTAGCACACACACGCGCGCTTACTCATGCACTCACCCACTTACTCAATCATCTACACACCCACTCACTCACCTACAACACTCACTCATTTGCCAACTCACTCACTCACCCATACAACCATCTACTCACCCAATCAACCACTTACCCACTCACTCGCCGACACAGACAAAGATCCCCCCCCCCCCCCATATACCTTTAACTGACAGTTGGAGCAAGTGTTGTTAACGAGCACCTATGATTCCGGAACGGCACACGAGGGGGTGGGTAGCAAGAACCACACCCGACACACCCACCCACTCGCCAACATGCTCCCTCAACAACAACCGCCATTCGCCACTAAGTGGCGGTGACGTCTCCACGACGCTTGTGCCAGGCTATGTGCACCTTGAGGCCACGTGAAGAGTCGAACGCCCGCTGGCAGGAGGTCACGGGGCAGAACCAGGTGCCACGGGTCGACTGGCTGATGCACCACCTGTGCCCCCTACTGTGCCAACTTGCTGTGCTTTAGCCACCCGGCGCTCCGCTCGTTGTTGTGAGAGTCGCTCCTCCGCCCTCCGTTGTTGTTGGAGGGCGACTTCCTCCAACTGCCCAGTAGCGGCCTTCACGAGCCTCCTCCACTGAGGCCGATCTTGACGCCGCTTGTACCAGTCATCAGCAAGTCCACTCAGCTCCACATCCTCCTGTACCACATCACTCCATCTCTTCTCTAGCCCGTGTCGCGCCCGTTTAGCCCCCTCGATCCAGCGAAACAAAAGCTGTTTAGGCATGTGGAGGCTGGGCATGCGGGCTACATGGCCCAGCCAACGCAGCCTTGCTTGCCGGAGGAGCTCACCGATGGGACTTTCAAGGATATGTGAGCTCCTCACACAATCCATCCTGGTTAAACCCAAGATAGATCGTAGGCAGGTCAGCCTAAATGTTTCTAACCGGCGAAGATGTTCAATTAGGGGGGTCCAGGTTTCGCAAGCGTAGAGAAGGGAGGGAATGACCGTGGCCGAGAAGACCTGAAGCTTCGTAGGTGGATGGGTGAGTGCTCCCCCATTCACCCATCCATCTACACACCCAACCATTCAGTCACTCACCCATTTGCCCACTCACCTACCCACTAATTTACTCACCCACCCACTAATTTACTCACCCACCCACTAATTTACTCACCCACCCACTAATTTACTCACCCACCCACTAATTTACTCACCCACCCACTAATTTACTCACCCACCCACTAATTTACTCACCCACCCACTAATTTACTCACCCACCCACCCATTAATTTACTCACCCACCCACCCACTAATTTACTCACCCACCCACCCACTAATTTATTCACCCACCCACTAATTTACTCACCCACCCACTAATTTACTCACCCACTAATTTACTCACCCACCCACCCACTAATTTACTCACCCACCCACCCACTAATTTACTCACCCACCCACCCACTAATTTATTCACCCACCCACTAATTTACTCACCCACCCACTAATTTATTCACCCACCCACTAATTTACTCACCCACCCACTAATTTACTCACCCACCCACTAATTTACTCACCCACCTATACACTCGCCCATCGACCGACTCACCACCTTCAAATCTATATTTGTTTTGCATTGCGAAGTTATCTTGGCCTTGGTTTAGTGTTCGTATTCACAGTGGCACATAGACAGCAGAGAGAGTCTTGTAGTCTCCACTTGTACACACCAAGTGCCTATATCTTCCGTGGTTTGTGCTGAAGCGGTTAAGCGCTGCCCATTTTTTTCCATGGGGGATGTTTTGACAACGCCTTCACTTAGACAGAACACCGAGTACCCCATTCATCATTTTACCTTTTCAATGTACGATTCGTCAAACACACAACATGATTTAAATATATTACGTGTTTAAACATGAGGGTATTATAACATTAGTGAACTACCTATCGGTTTTCAGTTGCATTGTCATTGAAGCCGTATCAAAGAAATGTTCTTAAACAAAAAACGAAAGTTTAAGTTGTAATGGTCCACGTATATTTTTGTTGTTGTTTTGAAGCTATTAAAAAAAATATGGATATATTATTTATTCCATTTTTCGTTCCTGGCTATGAATTTAAATAGTTTGGAAAACAATATATATTCCATAATACAGTTTTTTGGGTTAGATCACGTAAATATATAAATGTGTCGTTAAAACACGCCACCACCCGACACAGCCAACTAGTAAGGGTTGTCACGTAAACAGAACATGCCAGACAGAAGCGAGTACAGCACACCGGTGTGTTGGGGAGCAAAGCCACAGCATTTACAATATGAGTACGACGTTTCGCCAGTAATTACAACCAGCTTCATCAAATAATATATATTATTATTTCCACGTGTTGTTGCCCACTTACCGTGCGTACAATTTCACTGCAGTGAAGAGAGGTATCACGTGTACAACGTCACGTGACCAACAAATGGTGACACTTCTACATCCACTCGTGGACTTAAAGCTTCTTGTTTTAAATAAAATTTGAGTTCTGAAAATGAGGCACCGGTTAGCTAGTGGACATTCAGCAGAAAGTTATGTAGATTGTGATAAACTGATAATAATGCGTCTCATTGGGTTAAACAGGTAAAATTAACGGTTAGAAATCCACATATTTTGCTGCGGCAAAAGTTACATGTAAAACTTAGTTGTGTATTCTAAAATTCCTGCGCAAGGATGATCATTCACAGGTTCCCGACTGGTGGCCGTGTCGTGCTCTTTCCTCGCAAGAGAGTCTGCTCAGTATGAATCCCACAGTTTATGAACTTGTCGAGGCACTGTAAAACACACCTCGTTTTTTTGTACAAATGGAATTTCAAAGAATTCTCGAGAAGCTTAAAAAACACCAACGGGCTCTACGATAAAATAACCATTGCATTTTTTTTTAGATTTTAGTTTAATGCAGTACACGTCCTCTTACCCATGAGGCTATTGCCCATAACTCAATTATCACCAGAGCCTATAGGATACGTGAAAACTCCTATTATCCGAGTCCCTATTATCTGCAATTATCCTTAGATTTTTTCATGGATGTATCGAGTAAATTTGCAGACAACACGGATAATATGATCTGCGATGTTTGTAACCAACATCAGCTTGGGTAAGATGCGTTGTTTGTTTAAAGCACTCTGCCTTATTGGTCCTGCTTTTTAGTGTCGTGTTATATTTTTGCGAGATGAAGATAGATTGATTTTAAGTCATTAAATCATTTTCTCCAGAGGGATTGCTTACTGGGGCCTCTCGTGGGGCCTCCGTGTTGTTGCCAGGCTTTACCCTCATGATCACAGGGCTGTCCCTCTGCCATCCATCGACACGCACCTTTCACCGTTGAACCTTGTAGCAAGATGTTAACTCCCTCGCCTGGTATACAGGAGGTCATGGGTTCGATCCCGACTCTTGACGCCTGTTGTATATTTGGAGTTTTTATGGTTTTTCTCCACCCTGCTTGCGTGGATGTTTCTCCGGGTCCTCCGGGTTTCCCCTCCACGCTAAGAAACGTGCGTTTAGAGTTCTTCGCTGTTGTAAATTTCCACACAATGAGAAGCCACTTTGTTGAGTTATCATTTGTGATGGTCAGGTTGCTTCCGAAAAAGAGCTACATAGCTCAGTGGGCCTCACCTGGTAAAAAAAAATATTAAAAAATAGAAAGAGAACTTAACTCACAAACAACAAATTGACCCCACTTGAAGCTAATTTTCCTGACCCAGGATGTGAGCGTGAACTCGGGAGTTGGCCTTCGGGCTGCTGTTCAGGATCATCGTCTCGAGCGGATTCATCGCTGATCTCGTGGGAGGGGAGGAGGAGGGGGTGGATTTTATCGCTGATTTTACATCGCATTCTGTTCGAGTCCTTTTTGTGCTTGTCTGCTTGTGGGAGTTGGATTTCCCGTGTGGGATATCCAATCCGAGATCGGTCAGAGATGTCGGTGGAACTGGCAGAATACTATTTTAGTCTCCCCATATCTGATTGCAAAAGAGGAATACTTGCGTGTGTGTGTTTTATTTTTATAAAGACTGCATCGAGTTCCTGTTGAGAGGCGTTTCAGGTAGAACAAACGGATTAATTTACCGTCGTTCTGCAAATTCCAGTATGTAGTACACTGCATAAATCAGCACTTTAGATATGAAAATGTTAAACATACACAGTATGTACGACGTTAATAATGTTTAGTCATGACAACTATATGACGTTAATTGATTTT